TCACCAGGGTGTAAATGTAAACTAACCACTAATTGGGTGGATCAGTGGGTCTCAAACTGAAGTTCGTCCACGATCCGCATGCGCCCAGTGAACACACAGCTCCAGCCCAGCGGGGTGCTAAAAGAAAATCAGGATCCTGGCTGCCGAACTCCATATACGCTAGGATCTGAGTCTGGGCTGTATGGCGATTATGGGCCATTATGGCTGTTTCTATGTTACTTTACTGTGGTGCTGAATCTGCACCTTGAATTCCAGGCAGTTTCTTGGGTCCTCCTGTGAGTTTTCCACTGAAGACAAGGATCTAGCCCTAACTCTGGAAGTCACTGGCTTAATATTGATAGGGTTCTTCTGTAGTAGTTGATGGTAGTTGTAATAATAATAATTGGTAGGATTTTTACAGTGAAGTCATGACTGAACTCTGCCCTGCTGGAATGAATGAATGAATGGGAGTTTGACTTGGAAGGGGGGTAGGTCAGGCTATTAATCCGCAGGTCTCCAAGTGCTTTAGGTATACTATAAGTATAAGGGCATGTCTACGCTGCATCATTATTTCGAGATAACTAGCGTTATTTTGAAATAACAATGTGAACGTCTACACAGCCATTCTGTTATTTCAAAATAATTTTGAAATCATGGACAACTTATTCCGAAATCTGTAAACCTCATTCTATGAGAAATAACGCCTATTCCGAAATAGCTATTTCGAAATAAGGCGCATATAGACACTCTGCTGCTATTTCGAAATATTCCCTTAGCAGGGCCTTTCTAAGTTATTCCTCCCCATTGCCTCCTGGAGCTCTAAATCGAGATAGCACATCTACATTAGGGGAGCCTGCCTCAGACTGAATTTGAGGCTTCCGTGCAAGGTAGACGTGCTATTTCAAAATAAGCTATTTCAGAATAACTATTCTGGAATATTTTATTTTGAAATAAGTCTGTACTGTAGACGTACCCTAAATGTAGATGTACTTTGTTATACAACTGGCCACTAGCCAGTAAATCTTTATACGCAAATCCACCTTGAGGCCAACTGTTTATTGGCATGCTGCTTTTCATGGAAAACTCTGATGGGAGAAAATGGAAACTGTTCCATAAAACTGCAAGTGCCCAGTCTACATGCCAAAATCTATACTCAGTCCATAAAATAAATGTGCCCAATTTCTGTTTGCTAAATGCAATTACATATTTGCTATCGACACAGCAATTTAACTCCAGCATCTCTAGTTGTTGTTGGCTAAACAAGGTAATGCCAATGCCTTCATAGACAACAACAACAAATGATCTGGTTTTCACTGAAAGAATCAACTAAAGAATAATATACAAGCCCGTTTGTCTCAGATTTGCAGTTTGCACTAACATTGGCGATTCCACTGATGTAAATTCTTCAGTGAAAAAAATCAAAGCAGCTAACAAAGACAAAAGCTGTCATGTGCCTTTTATTACATTGTATTGGAGAATCACCTCCCTGCTGGAGTGTCTCAAGGGGTTTTCTGTGCAAGCCATCGAGTAGTACATAAAATACATCAAGACCACTAGAAATCCAGGGCCAGATTTTGATGCCCTTAATTGTGTTGAATAGCATCTTTCTCCACGAGTATGCCAATGAGATGGCTTGTGCAGTAAAATGCTGTGCGACACAATATCAGAATCTGGCCCCTAGACAGCAGGTTTTGACAGCTGTTTTATAAATATCAGAGTGTGCATGTGTATGCTTGAAAATGAAGAGGGTAAGTGATGATCTGCTATATGGATGTCCTGGCTAAACATTCAAGTGGCAACTGTGAATATCATTTCCCTTGTGAAAGGAGCCACAGAGTTTTCTTTGCACTTGGATACCGTGGAGATAAGCATGTTAAAAATTGCTTTGTGGCTGGTTCTCCTGTGTTTGAGGGAACTTTACATCTTCTTCTTTGTTACTTATACAATATAGGCAGCAGCACACAGGCAATATTAAACATGTGTATTCTTTTACGCTGATTAATAGAGCCTTGCAAATCTGCGGATATCCACTTTATATCCATGGGATATGGATGTGGATATCTGCAGTTCATTTTTGCAGATATGGATGTGGATACAAATTTTGTATCTGCACAGGGCTCTACTTATTAAACAGATCCTTAGGCTAAAATGTAGATAGAGTGGTTCTTTCCCAAAAGAAGTACCCAGCAAAAGTGAATGGCTTTTCTCTGCCTCAGTATTTTCCACTGTGGTTGGGGATCACTGTACATGTAAAGCAAACTTGGATCTTCTCCTTAAATAAACCCATAGGACTTCTACAGCAAATCTTTTATCAGCGCATTGACTTCAATGGGAAATTGGTTCCCAGTGTGTAATGCCATCAACTACTTCTGCTACCACCCTGCAACAGAGGCCACAATAGAGATCGAGGACAGAGGCTACATCTAGACTACAAGCCTCTTTCGAAAGAGAGTGTCTAGACTGCAACCACTTCTTTCGAAAAATCCCTGTTTGCATTCAAGAACGCCTTTTTTCGAAAGAGCACTTTTGAAAAAAGGCATTCTTTCTCGTAAAATGAGGTTTACCATGGTCGAAAAAGCTGCTGCATTCTTTCAATTTAATTTTGAAAGAATGCAGCGGCAGTCTAGATGCAGGGGAAGTTTTTTTGAAAAAAGATCACTTTAAAAAAAAAAAACCTGTAGTCTAGACACACCCAGAGTGGTGGCCTTAAGGTAGCTCTTCCTTAATTTTAAAAATAATGAGTAGTCCTGTGGCACTTTAGAGACTAACAAAAATATATAGGATCATGAGTTTTTGTGGGTAAAACCAACTTCCTCAGATGAACTGGAGTGGAAATAACAGACCCAAGATATTTATAGAACATAAGAACAGCCATATTGGGTCAGACCAAAGGTCCATCTAGTCCAGTATCCTATCTGCCAACAGTGGCCAATACCAGATGCCCCAGAGGGAGGGATCACAACAGGTAATCATCACATGATCCCTCCCCTGTCGCTCATTTCCAGACAAAACAGAGGGGGACAGGAGGTACCTGTCAATTGCAGAACCGGTGCTAATGAGGCTAATTAAGTGGGCTGGAAGTTTCCCATTCTTAGCTTAGTTACAGACTAACATGGCTATGTCTCTGAGACTTCCATGCTTTTGACAGTGTTACATACATGGGACCTTGTTTGCTGAATGCTTGCTTTTTTTAACAGCAGGTTATATAGCAATGGATATGCTTGTCTAGTAGTTTCAACCTCCTCATATAATGTGGCTTCTGAAGTCCACTGAAAGTTTTGGCATCACTGGGTTCATGTTTCAAGGGATACTGTGGATAAAAGGAACAGAGAATGGGGAAAATGTGCATAAAAAAGAATATAGTCCAAGGTCTTCAGAAGTGACTCATGATTTTGGGTACCTGTGGTTGTGGGCATCTACCATGAGACACTTAAAAGGGCCTGGTTTTTCCCACCCTCTGAAAATCAGGCCTTTTTAAGGGCTCTTGAGTTGGGCACACAGAGTTGCTAGTCACTTTTGAAAATCTTGTTCATAGTGTTTACCCTGGATATGGGGAGTCCATTTGTGTGAGTTGAGGGTGGGTAATTGTTTCAACCCCTAATATACAGCACAAGCTAGAGAGGGAGAGGGAGGGACGGAGAGAGCTAGCTCACAATCAAGAACTCTAGAGAAAATTGCTTCAGTTCCTCATGGATTGTAACTACCAATTTCTGGACTTTGAAGAGGTGACTCATTGACCCAAATGACCTCCATGGCTCCTCTTTCATTGCTATAGTCTACAGCAGTGATCTGTGTTTGATACGGAGGAAGGTTGGTGCAGTGGACTCCAATAGGAGTGTCTAACCTCCTTATGTGTTTGTAAATCCCGCTGGGTGCTGATCTGTATCTCTATGTAACTAAATACTTTTATAAATCTGGCCCTCTGTGTCTGACTTGCCCATCTCTAAAATGGGAACAGTATTGTGAAAAATAATAAGTATTGAAAAAGAGATCCTATGGTTGAGAGGCCCGAGCAATGGCCTGGAATTCAGGAGACCTGGGCTATGTCCTTCGTTCTGTGGATGACTTGGTGTGTGATCTTGGACAAGTGACTGCATCTCTCTCTTTCTTTTCTTGACTGTTTAGACTTTCAGTTCTTCAGGGCAGCGATGTTTTCTCACCATGAATGAAAATTCCTGCCATTGAAATCAATGTTCATTGGCACTGGGATTGCATCTTATGTGTTTGTGCAGTACCTAGCTCAGCGAGGCTTTGGGTGGTACTGTAATGTAAATGATTATATTTATAGAACACCGCATGTGTATGCAGCACTTCACAAGGTCGACTGTGACAATGAACAGTACCCCAGCCCAGAAAAGTTCATTATGTACAGGCACAAATTAATAATTTAGAGGAGAAAACAACGGAAGCAGGTACCATCCAGGCAAAAGCAAGCAGAATGTGGAGATTGGAGCTGGGATGCTCTGTGCTCTATGGCACAGCTGTGTTTTTCAGGAGCTCTTTGGAGGAGGAAAAAGAAGAGCTTGGCAGGCATTTTTGAAAGACTGTTCCAGGCAAAGGGGGTGGCAAATAAAATGGGATTTTGTCTGACTGGGTTTAGCCAAGAGTGAAATATTAGTGGCATTGGACAAACTCATAGCAATAAGGGTGTTTAATGAAAATCCTGACAGACTTTTAATTATGGACCCACACAGGAGCACTGTAATAAAAGGTGCCGTTCTTATCTCTTTGGTCATTTGTGCTCTTGTTCTGTGCTACCAGCTTTCACCCTGACAGTTTGAACTTTATGTGTTAAATATTTAGACTGAAATGTTGCCAAGATGATATCACTTCTTTTCTCGGAACATTTTATGTGGGTTTCTCAAATGTCATTGCTTACAATGCAGCCTAAGGCAAACAGCATGCATTACAGTTATGTGTGTGTGTGTTTTTTAACACCTCAGCTCTCAATACAGGGGGTAGCATTGCAAGCAGCCTCTTGTTGCTAACGTAACTAAGTACCTCTTCTCTTCTCTTGTCAGGGGACATTTAAACTGGCTTCAGCTAGACCGTAGAGTGCTAGAACATGACTTCCCCAAAAAGTCAGGACCAGTTGTTCTGTACTTCTGTGTCAGGTAAGTGTGTGATTGCCAGCAGGCCCTACAGCACACGATTAAAAATACACATTTCCTAAAGGTCAACAAAGTGGGCCTTTCTGTTCTTGTTTTGCTTTTCATAAGGCTCCATAAAGATTCTTGTAAAAATAACAGTAGTTAACTCAGATGCTTTTCAATCTGGATGTCATTCTTTTGTTCACAGTGGTGTCAATCAGGGAGACCCCACTGTAGTCACTGGAATTACATAGAGGGGAATCCAGTGTGAGGGAAAATGACACCCTAAATAAGGGTGGGGAGCCATAGGCCCAGGGGCCAGATGCGGCCCTCAGCTTGCCTGGATCTGGCCCCTGAGGCTCAGGGTCCCCACCCAGCGTTGGGGAGACCGTGCTGGTGCTCCAGTCCCCTTGCTGCTGCCCTGGGGTCTGGCGTGAACAAAATCTACTAGGCTGGGTCCCCCTCTGCTTTAGTATGCAAGGGGAATGTGAGGAGTGTCTTTCTTCTCAGTTGGGGACCACAGTGAGGGTTTTTTTCCCCCCACTTCTCACTTGTGTGTGGCCCCCAACTGATTTTTCTGTGGGTCAGTGGCCCCTGACCCAAAAAAGGTTCTCCACCCCAGCCCTATATCTTTTGTATGTTAAGGGCACATCAGTTTGCACTACAAAATTAAGCTGACCTATGTAATGTCAATATACAGCCACTGCAGTAAGTAAGTCAGTTTTACACATACACACTGTTGCTCCTTGCGTCAGAGATGCATGTCCTCACTAGGAGCACTTGCACCAATTTAACTGCCAGTGTGGGGTGGGGTGGACGACTCCTGAAAGGCAACAACAGTCTATGTAAGCAACACAATGTCTGTACAGACTCTGCATCGACCTAACTACATCAGTTTAAGTGCTGCACCTCTCGTGGAGATGGAGTTATTAGTTGGTGGCGTAAGCAAGTTACTTCGGTGGAAGCTACATTTTCGCATAGACGTTTACCGAGTTTTATCAGCATCAGCTGCCTTACGTCGACTAACTCCATAGTTCAGACCAGGCCTAATGCTTTCTTTGAGGGTGTGTTTAGACTACAGGGTTTTTTTTTTTTTTAAAAAAGTAGCCTTTCAAAAAAACGTCACCTGCATCTAGACTACAATAAATCAAATCGAAAGTAAATCAAAAGAACATGGCAGTTTTGTCGACCACGGTAAACCTTACTCTATGATGAATAACGCCTTTTTTCGAAAGTCATCTTTCGAAAAAAGCTGCTATTGAATGAAAACAGAGCTTTTTCAAAAGAGAGTGTCTAGACTCTCTTTCTAAAAAATGAGCCGCTTTTTCAAAAAATCTTCTTGTAGTCTAGGCACTCTTTTTCGAAAATATCTTTCAAAAAAGCCTCTTTCGAAAGAGGCTCGTAGTCGAGACTAACCTTGCGTGGTAAATGAGCCCAAATGGAAGGAATGAGCTTGGTACCCCTGCAGAGTGAAGTCCTCTTGTTATCCACAGAAGAGTACAACACAAACCTGCAGTGGCTTCACAACAGGGCTCAGGCCTCACCTGCAGTGTCCAGTGTATTCCCATTCAGATTGTTGACAAGATTATCAATTAGAGCCAGTTGTCTTGGTGGGTTGTTTTGCATTGTTTGTTTAATGTGGACACTTTTGGGCTGAGAACTCTATCAAGATCACCGGCTTATTACACCTGAGCCACTGAACAGTCACAACTTTTAGTCCCTATCTACCCTGGCTGGATTTCAACCAGCCACCTGGAGGAAAAAAAACCATTGAGCTATCTGTTTGCTCTGTCTAATGGCACTCATTATACCAGTCATCCCTGGTATTACTCTACAGAAGACTTCCCACACAGATGTTCAATAGCTCCTCTATGGTGGTAAATTCTGGGCATATTGTGGCAACAGATGGGCCAATGAATGTATATAATATTCCAAATACCTCCTGCCAACAAACCAGGGGGCACTCAGCTGCTACAGTTATACGAAGGGTATAAGAACCTATATAGAATTAAGGAGCTCTTAAGTTCCACCTGCTTGCAAGTTTCTGGAGAGATTTTCCCCATGATGGGAGATTCTGTGAGTATTGGTAGAGTTTTTAAAATCACCACTATACAGAACTTTTCTGTCTCTGAGGAAGATATTTTCACATGCTTGTAGCTAGCATGTGAAATGAGAATGTGCTTTGTTTGATCTACTTTCCCTGTCAGTATTGCTCTAATGCCATCATTCCACTCAAAAGTAAAGGAAAAATGTAACCCCTCCCCTTAATTTGTGCACTCACTGCAGGGCTGTCCTTACCATGAGGCAAACTGAGGCATCTGCCTCAGGTGCCAGACTGTGGGGGGAGGCGCCACTAGGACCCAGAGAATTGAGACCTTTCGAAGTTTTGGCCCAAGCGAAGGGGAATGGGGGTGTCATTTGAGCTCCCTGCCTCAGGTGCCAAAATGTTATGGGCCGGCCCTGACTCTGCCATTCCTGAGAATTTGATTACAGGGAAAGTGGAGAGAAGGCAGACGTTGTTCGGTTTCTCTGACATCTGATGTTGCAGATTCAGTGCTAGAGCCATGCTAGGTCCGGTTAAGGCTACGACTGCCGGGGTTGAAGAGAAGCTCTGATGTGTCAGCTTTGGCCGTTTAAAACTGGAGATGGGCCCAGATCCATGAGCCCCGATTCTGTGCAGAGCCACTCCTGATTAGAACTAAATCAGTCAGTTGGGCCGTTTCCATAAAGGTGCTAAACATAAATGCACAAATGAATTCCTGTGGAAAATGGAATAAAAATACCTAGCAATAGCTGGTAATAATGGCCCAATGCGACAGCTATCAAGAGTATTACTAGAGGCCCAAATTCAGAAGTTCTTACTTGTCAAAAATCTCACTGAAGATACTGAGAATTTTACCTCAGCAAACACTGAATAAGAAAGTCAGGATTTTGGACCCATAGTGGATCCACTGCTGTGTACTGTACTAACAATGAACTGAGCCTGGCTTAACACAGGGGCCCTAATTGGGGATCTCAAGGTGACTAATACAGTGCTCCAGATATTCTTTACAGAGAATTCTGTTAACCAGTATTTAAGGAGCATGTGTTTATTTCGCTAATATTTTAAATGCATCATTCACCCAGCATGTGAAACTAGTGAAGACATAGATCCTGAGGCAAGAGCAGTAAAATAGTAATTTGAGGGAATGGGAAGCTAAGGGAGAATGTGTATTTCATGTGAAAACCATCATTTTTTTTATCCTTAAAATGCCTGCAGCGCTTCTGATGGCTCAAGTGCCCACTTGAGGCACTTCACTTTCTAAATTGCTCCAAATGAAGATTTAAAAAAGAAAAGTTTTGGGGGAAGAGGAAAAGATGCCCTGTAGACTACGAGTTTGAAAAACAGTCACTGTCTTTGTCAAGGAGAATTTCTCCTCCTTTTAGTTAATCTGAACTCTCTGGAATAGCAGCTCCCCTCCCCCACTACACAGAACCTCATTTCTTGGTAAGACTTGCCTTGCGTTCTTGTACTTTTATCCAATTACAACATTACCAGTGATCTGCTCTGAGTGTGCACCCTATGGAAATCAGTGGGGCAGCACAGAGGTTAGTTATGGTCATATTTGTTCCCAAGGGCCCAATTTTGACCTTAGACCCAGTTACCTTCCACTGAAATCTCTCTTGATCTTAGGTTTTAATACAGTACTTCCCAGTAAAGGAGGGCAGAATTGGTTGGTCAGATACAAACTGCCCCCATCACTTTACAATATTATCTTATCATAAGCCCCCCATGGTGTTTTACAAACAAGTAAAGTCCATTCTCTGCCCCAAAGAGCTTACAGTTCAAATAAGGCAGAGAAAACCAGATACAGTACTGGACAAAGGTCCAGGAAAGAGGTTGTAAGGAGAGGACTGAGAAAGAGGCAGGATTGATTGATTGCAAAGACAGGATTTTAGGGAGGCTATTTGGGCACATCTACATAGCAGGGCCAGACTTGAAATAAGTTACACAACTTGAACTATGCTAATTGTGTAGCTTAAGTCGAAATAGCTTATTTCAACTTTTGGCGCTGTCTACTCAGCAGTTATTTCGAAATAGAGCACTCTTCCCCCGACTTCCCTTACTTCTCATGAAATGAGGTTTACAGAAGTCTGAGTAAGAATTTTGAATTTATTTTGAAACAACGGGCTTGCTGTGTAGACGTGCACTATGTTATTCTGGAATAAGTGATGTTATTCCAAAATAACCCTGCGGTTTAGACATAGCCTTTGAAAGCTGGAGGTTGGCAGATGAGGACAGAGCAACTGTGCCGCACACAAAGAGAAGCATGTCAGAAGCCATGAAGCTAAGTGTAGGAAAGAGAGACCCCAACAGTAAGCAGGTGAGAGGATGAAAAGGCAAGGCACAGCGAGTCAATCGAGAGATTCAAAACATGTAGGAGGTGCTGTTACTTACACAGAGGGAAAAGAAGATGTGGTAGCATTGTGCTCTTACTTGTAGGTGCAGGAGGAAGAATTCAGAGCTGGAGATGAGTAGGACACAGTGTTCTGAGTGAAAGTGGACCAGGGCCCAATAAGTGAACCATTAGAAAGTGAATTTTGCCTTGATTTGCAATCCTCAGCCTGAAACAGTGGTCTGGACCTGAATGTCATGAGAGGTTATTAATTCCTATTCCATATTTGTTCCCAAGGGCCCAATTTTGACCTTAGACCCAGTTACCTTCCACTGAAATCTCTCTTGATCTTAGGTTTTAATACAGTACTTCCCAGTAAAGGAGGGCAGAATTGGTTGGTCAGATACAAACTGCCCCCATCACTTTACAATATTATCTTATCATAAGCCCCCCATGGTGTTTTACAAACAAGTAAAGTCCATTCTCTGCCCCAAAGAGCTTACAGTTCAAATAAGGCAGAGAAAACCAGATACAGTACTGGACAAAGGTCCAGGAAAGAGGTTGTAAGGAGAGGACTGAGAAAGAGGCAGGATTGATTGATTGCAAAGACAGGATTTTAGGGAGGCTATTTGGGCACATCTACATAGC